AAGTAGTGGTGAGGTTTGTGGACGCGCTGAGTCGATACCTTAACATCCATCAATTCTTGCTGTGCCTTGCGGGAAGCTTCTACAAACCATACATTCTCTTGAGAGTTTCGAGCTTCTCCCGCGTGGCAATCTCCAAGTAGAGGTAAGTTTCTTGGTGAATGCGGCATGTTGTGAGCCTCGTGTGCCATGGGGTTTGGGGTTGTGGGCCATCTACTTGACATGTTGGGCTACCCGCTGTGCCATGGGGTTGGGCTATCTAAAGGGTGTTTGGGCTATGAAACCACGCGCGCTCGTACTACTACTACTAGTACTAGTAATACTACGGCTACGACTATGACTACGACGACGACGACACTACTGCTACCCCCCACTCCTGATACGAATACTACGCATCTTCATGATCGGCATCGTCAGCGAAATGACAACAAAAATCGTTCATAGTAAGAATGACAATAATGTTCGTAGCAGCATGAATTCCAAAATCTGGGAGTTGCTGTCCTTTTTGGGTTTCACGTTGTGATCGCCAAGGGACAGTTTCGGAGCATTCAGCAGCTTGAGCGTCTTGGGTGCAACGTGCTACCTGCTCAAAACCCAGACACAGTTATAGGGTAAGTGTTGTTAATATCATTATTGTTTCTCTTAATATGATTTTGGTTATTATTGCTATTGTGATCATTCGTACTGTTATTTGTACCGTTCTTGCTACTCGTATGGTCATGTGCCTTAGGCAACCTGTATATGTTCATCACCTCCATCGCCTACCTGGACCTTTCCGGCCCATTGTCCTACTGGTACACAGGCGGGCTTAGAACCCGGATGTCTTGGACGCTTCCATGTGCAGTGAGCTGGGGATACTTCCCTGGCGCCTTCTGCTGCTTTTTGTTTGGAATTTCGGGTTTGGAGTTGGGGCCCATGGATAGCCGACGACGTGGTGGTGCTGGTCGTCGTTTTCGACGTTGTTGGCGTCATAGGAGGCATGATGCTTGCCGTGACATGATAATGCTCAAATTTGTCAGGAAAAGCTACAGGCAGTGAAGCTGAACAGCTGTAGGGACACTGACATGACCGCTGCCAAAACCTCGGAGATCTGCAGCTATTGCCTTAACTGAATTCTCAGAACTGCAGTATTCGTGGTCACAACAAAGATCGTGGCCCTAAGCCCTAAGCCCTAAACCCTAAAGCCCTAAACCCTAAACCCTAAATCTACAACAGACCATGACGCACACAAAGTCTCTTGCAGGGACGGAGAGCTGTGTGGAAGACGGCCCACACTTCACCTACGCGTACTACCTGGCCATCTCCAATGTGGTGGGGGCCGTCGGTGCCTGGGAAAATTTGGGAAGTGGCTCTCAGGGCTTTTGACGAGGGCAACCCGCAACTTTGAGGTTTTTTTGACCTTGGGGCTCAAACTGCGGGTTTAGGGCTTTGGGCTTCGGGTTTAGGGTTTAGGGCCCTAAGCTGTCGATTTTTCGAAGTCCCCAGCTCCCACTTCCAGTAGGAAGTCTGCGGGTGCCTGAACCCCAGACTGTAGACCTTCAAAGTTACCCTCAGCACAAGCCTTCATTCATCGGTGAGACCTAAAACCTACAGCCAGTAAGCAGGTGGACGCATAATCATTCTCGTCCTCGTCCTCCATAGTCGTCGATGTCGTCGTCGTTTCTGTCGTCACCGTCGTCGGGAACTAGAAAAGAGCCCACCCGAAAGCCTTCTATTCTAGTGATTCTAGCCTCCCGAGGCTCCATCCTTGGCGCAGTCATCTTTCAGTACATGCAGGTGGGGGCGAGGGCTCCTGCAAGGTGTGGAGGAATCAAGGGTAGGTGCAGGAGCTTACCGGGGTGTCGGGCAAGTGCTTGAAGCTTGGGCTTCCAGTAGACACGGGCCGCAGTTCGGAGCCGTGTCTTGGAGTTCAGTGGCTGTGTTGGTCGCGGTGGTGGCGTGGCCGGGAAGAGTGACGGCTACCGTCGTGTGGCGATGAAGCTGCGTTTGCGGATACTGAAGATGACTTGGTTCTTGTTGCGGAACTTCATTGAAGTTACCATAGTAAGGAAACTGTATTATTCACTAAAGATCCCTGCTATGGTAACTTAAACTGAGTTCCTAAACTCAAAGCATCATGGCGCTTCCAGTAACCCTCATAACAAGAATCCAGATGAAGGATCCGTTGCCTTTCTACTGACAGTGATTTTAGGAACGACTCTGTCGAGAGATATGCTAGGACTCCCCTTAAACCCTAAACCCTAAACCCCAAACCCTAAACCCCAAACCCTAAACCCTAAACCTTAAACCCTAAACCCTGAACCCTGAACTCTAAACCCTGAAGCCTGAACCCTAAACGGCCCTAAACCCTAAGCCCACCCAAGCCCGCACCCGGACTCAGCAAGGAACGAACCTTAAACTTTGAGGCCAGACTCCAAGCTGCCTTGAAGTTTAGGGTTTATGGTATTTAGGGTTTAGGGTTTAGGGTTTAGGGCTGTGGGGTTAAGGGGTTTAGGGTTTAGGGTTTAGGGGCTTAGGGGCTTAGGGGTTTAGGGTTTAGGGTTTAGGGTTTACGGGGGTTAGGGGTTTAGGGTTTAGGGTTTAGGGTTTAGGGTTGACAAAAACTCTCTGGGAATGGAAGAAGCCTATCGAAGCCTCACGCAAGCCCACAGAAGCCGCCTGAAGGGTCCTCGAACTTGCTGGAACCCTGCAGAGGCCTTATCGACACAGACACCTTTTGCAAGCCCCCCTAAACCCTAAACCCTAAACCCTAAACCCCAAGCCCTAAAAAGTTTCAACCCCAAGCTCCAAACCCTAAAGCCCTAAAGCCCCAAACTCTCAACCCTCAAGTCCTAACCCCAAACCCTACAGACCTAAACAAGCCGTTTCACCCCAAAGCCCTAAGCCCTTACTCCTAAATCCTAAACCCTAAACCCTAAACCCTAAACCCTAAAGGCCCAAAACCCTAAACCCCAAAGCCCTAAACCCTAAACCCTAAATCCTAAACCCCTGGTAAGGAATTCTATACTGTCTTGCAGTTGGAAAAGGGCCCTTAAACAAAAATCCTAAACCCTAAACCCCTAAACCCCTACCCCCTAAACCCTAAATCCCTAAACTCCTGAACCCCAAAGCCCTAAACCCTAAACCCCTAAACCCTAAACCCTAAACCCTAAACCCTAAACCCCTAAACCCCAAAACCCCTAAACCCTAAGGCCTAAGTCCTAAACCCCTCTTTCTTTGCAGGATTGGACCTTCCGCCAGGCTTTCTGGGTCACAACTGTGATCCAAGTGGTGGCCTCCTGGTGCCTCGGCGGAAAAAAGGGTTTAGGGCTCAGGGTTTAGGGTTCAGGGTTCAGGGTTTCGGGTTCAGGGTTTAGGGTAGGGTTTAGGGTTCAGGGTTCAGGGTTCAGGGTTTGGGGTTTAGGGTTTAGGGTTCAGGGTTTGGGTTTTAGGGTTCAGGGTTTAGGGAAACACCACAACCGGGTCCTGAATGATGAATGGTTAGAATAGGGGTTTGTGGGTACATTATAGGATACTTATCACAAGGAGCCCTAGGAACCCCGTTGTTAATCATTCCGCCCTCTGGATTACATTGCCCTAGGTCTCACAGTAGTACCCTTTTCCCCTTCTGATTTTGGGGTCTGATTCTGAAAACCGAACAGTAGGAACAAGGGTCACCGCTTCCGGGTTTAGGGTTTACCTGTAGTCTCCGTTGTACTCCATTGTAGTCCCTTTGTCTGGTTGTCAGGTAGCACCCTAAATTTAAAAGTACAGTTGGTTAAACCGAAGCAAGGAACTATAATGGAGACTATAGGTAGGGTTTAGGGAATTGCAGGATTTGAGAGTTGGCTTTTTGCAGATAGTAAGCTTCTCTTTGGGAATCCTTTTCAAGATCACAATATAACATCTCCCGAAACCTTCTTCGAATGATTAAGGCCCCTGAATTAGTCTCCGCTGACTTCTTGCAGCGTCTCATGGAAAATCAGCAGATGCCAGGCTCGCCGAGACCTCGTGCCGAAACTTCGGGGCCCCACACTCCCTAAACCAAAAACCGAGCCAGCCCTTTCCCTAGACCCTAAACCCTACACCAAACTTCCGAAGCCCAAGCTTGAAAGAAAGCTTCTCAGCCATCAGAGATTCAGGTTCGATCTTCTCATCATTTCCCGCCAGAATCTCAAGTTCGGGTTTTCGGACAAAGCTGCCTACCTCTTCGGAGACGCGGCTTCTTGGCAGCTGTTTGGCGGAGGTCCTCCACCCCTCCAACCCTCCTCTAATATAGGAGCCTTAATAATTACCTATGCTAGTTTGGAGGTTCCATGTTATAAGTACAGTCACAAAAAAACCCCAAAACCCTATTCTAACTGTTAAGGCCCCTACATTACCCTTCCAAGGGCATTCAGAGATATTGAGGGGATCACAGCTGCGAACACATGTTGAGGCTCTCACTATGGGGCTCTTGATGGATAGCAGACTATACCCAAAACCTTATGTAAAAAGATGCTGCAAGCATGGTGGACACGAAGCAGCCTCTTGCTTCGGCATGAGATGCGTGCCACATCGGAGATAATGTAGACGCCTCCACAATTAGAATAGGGTTTTCTGGTATTTTATACTGTAGTCATATTAAGGAACCCCCAAATTAGTATTCGTGGTGTATTATACAAAAATCATAATAGGGAAGCCTCCAAACTAGTATCGGTAGTTAGAAAGGCCCCTGTATTACCGTGGGATGCGTGTTGGAGCTGCAGAACCGTCAGATCTCAGGGTCCCGACACGGACTAGGGTTAAGGGCTTTGGGTTTAAGGGTTTAAGGGTTTTGGGGTTATGGGTTTAGGGTTTAGGGTTTAGGGTTTAATGTTTAGGGTTTAGGGTTCAGTGAGTGGACATTCAGCGACTTCGTCGATCCCAGGAGAGAAGCTCCGTACAAATTTTTTGGAGTCGCCAGGAATCGATCGTGATTCTGCGGTTCAGCATTGTGCCTGAAATTGGTGCGACTTGCCGGAAGGCACAACCTGATTCTAATCATTAAGACCCTGTATGAATAGTCCCCTATACTATAGTATCCTCCTCGTAGTCATAAACGGACCCTTGTGATACAGACAACGGAGCCCCTATTCTAATGGTTATAAGGACCCATATTTATTTCCGACCCCCCCAAACCCCAAACCCTGGACCTCAAACCCTTAAGCCTAAATCCAAAATATGTCAGCCGAGGCTTGCCAGAGCTTGGCGCAGCAGCCACCCGGACGAGAGGGCTCTGCAAGGGCTCCTACCAGGGGTTACTACACTTATCTCTTAGGAGTTACGGTTTAGGATGTAGGGCTTAGGGTCTTGAGGGGTTTACTACAATTATCTTGACCCAAGTTTTTTTGTGGGTTGCTGGGGTTTCGGGTTCCAGGGTCGTTATCTGCAATATATGTACTCCTTCAGATTCCGAATGCAACTGTGGCAATCCCCGAAAGACTGCTTTGGATCATCCAGACCACTTGGTGAACTCAGGCCACAGGATTCGCGCTTTGGCACCGGGTGCTTCAGCCTGGTAATATGGGGGTTTCAGAAAATAGGGGACCCTAATATAGTACCCTAAATAGTAAGATTCTTATTATAAGGACCCCAAAATAGGGTACCCTAATTTTCGGAAACTCCCATATAGGGCCCTTCATTCGGCTTTTGGGTTTAGGGTTTAGGGTTCAGCAGCTCCGGATCGAGCAGTCTCTAGTCGAGCTAACGGTCTCGGATTTAGAAAAAACCCACCCGCCCCAAAGAATCATGTAACATTCAGAAAATACAACAAACCATACTTCACCTTCTGCTCTGAAGACGAAGCCAAGCCCTAAACTAAACTCCCCTAAGCCGTAACCTAATCCTTCTAAGCACTACACCTTACAATATAGTTTAGGTTGTTACCCCTTCCCCCACCCTCGAACCTTATCGAATAACGTTTCGGAACTAGGTTTCGGATCTCGGCAGATCTGAAATGACGGCCGGATTTTTTCAAATAAAATCTTTTGGTGAAATGTGCGTTTTGACTAGGCTGATGACCCATCTCGGGGTGCCCCCATACTGGCTTCTAACTCCTAAATTAGGTTTCGGAACTACGTTGCGGATGACCTTATTCCCGACCAAGTGCCATTAAAGTTTAAATCCATAGCGATGAGGCTACTGTAACGGTTCACACTTTATGCTTCAAAGCCATAACCATAGTATGATCTACCCTCAAACCCTAGTTTGACCCAAAAACCCTAAACCCTAAACCCCTACACCCTAAACCCCTACACCCTAAAACCCTGAAGCCCTAAACCCTAAACCCGAATAAACCCAAAGCACCAAAAAGAAGAGACTGTGCAAAGGATGGCGCTGATGCCTCAGGCTCTCCTCACTGCCAGGCTTTGCCCCCGCGGTGCAGAGGCCTAGCCCCGAAACAATATGCCCACAGTTTAGGGTTCAGGATTTAGGGCTTCGAGATTAGAGTTTAGGGTTTAGGGCTTAGGAGTTTCGGCTTTCGGGTTTCGGGTTTAGGGTTTAGGGGTTTTGGGGTTTTGGGTTTAGGGTTTAGGGCCCTGCAACGTAAGCCTCCCTACGCCGAGAAAAGCCCAGCCGGCCCGAAGTCATCACTGTCGTCGCCATCGTTATCAGAGCCATCATTAGTGACGTGTCAGTCTTTCGAACCACCGTCATCGCTACTAAGTCAAGATGATGATGACTCTTATGATATTGGTGCTGGCAGCCACATCAAGAATAGTAGTCCCTACTATTCTTGATGTGGCTTTCAGCACCAGTATCATAAGTACAGAAGTGGCGCTCGCAACATGACAGTGGATATATTGATTCTGTTTGTTTTGCTCAGGCAGGCAACTCGGAAGTGATTGTTGGTAGTGGGAAAGTCCCAAAGTAGCAGCAAGCTCTTGCAGCACTGGAGTTGGCTATGACGTGAGTGATTGGGGAGGATACTTGCCATTGCACGAATGGACCATGGACAGACGGACCAATCGGTCACTGAGCATGAAAACCTGTGGTGCTGGTATTGGCTTTCAAGGGCAGTGCAGAGAATCACGCTGTGCAGGGCGATGCAGGCTATGTAGGACAACGATAGCAGTTGTTAAGGTTGGTCATGCTGGCCTTATCTGTACTATGGATAGGGCGCCTATGATTTTTGCATTCTCTTGTTATTTTGTGATTGCTGCCTGCTGCTGAATCTGTCGGCCGAAGCAGGGAAGTGACACCATGTCCATCAAAACTTTAAACCCTAAGCCCTAAACCGCCTAAACCCTAAACTCCCCTACCCTAAACCCCTAAACCATCAGAGCCGGGTCCTCCCAATCGCATCCCGTGAGGCGACCGTCTTTGCCATCCTCGCCGGTTTCCAGAACTTCGGATCGAACATCGGTGTTTTGGGTCGCAGATTAGGGTTTAGGGTTCGGGGTTTTGGTGTAGGGCTAACATCGGAGGCTTCTGCGTGTAGTATAGGGGCCTATAGACAACTACCGATACTCTTTCTTAGGGTTCCTTCTTTAAGTTATACGTTACTATCATATTGTATGGGGGCCTGTAGATAATTATCACGACTGAGTTTTTAGGGTTTCCTCCTTTGAATTTCTGTTATGATTTTGGTATAGGGTCCTGTTGACAATTGCCAGTTACTAGTTCTTAGGGTTCTTTTGGTTTAAAAAAACTGCGGTATAACATACCCCAACAGCCGAATTTCTGATCATTAGCTAAGGCCCCAACATCTGCGGCCAAAAGCGGAAGCTTCTGTATGTAGCCGAGCTTCCCATTAGTGCATCCCAACCCTGAGCCCTTTTTTAAGGAGATGGAGGCTTTGGAGGAGCTGTTCTTACCATTAGTAATATAGGGGCCTTTATAATTACCTATACTATTTTGGGGGTTCCGTCTTATAAGTATAGTTCTACTTATCAAGGCCCCTACATTACCATCATTTCTAGTTTTGCCGTCAAGGAACCCGTGACGTAACCTGCAAAGGCCGTCAGAGCAAAACAGTAGTACTCTTCTTCTGGAGTCCTGAAAGGTCCTCATACAAGTATACTACAATAGACCGTCGCAATGAAAGTTATGTCCGTCCGTCATGAGCCCCCCCCCACAACCCCCCCCACCCTGAAAGCAGGAGCGGTGCCAAACAGCCAAAACTGCAGCGTTTTTGACGAAAGTTCTTGACACATGTCCGTCAATAGCCCCCCCCCCCCACCCTCAACCCCGAAAGCAAGAGAACCCTAAACCCTAAACCCTAAACCCAAACCTGAAACAAGAACCACCCGCAAAAAGCAAGGAGAACGCCAGGAAAAAGAAGACACATCGGCCTTCAAGTTCACCTGCTCGTTACTATAGGGGCCTTAGTAATTACCCTTATTATAATTAGTACAATTATAGAATAATTATAGTATAATTACACAAATTATAGTATAATTGTAGTATAGTTGTAGTATAAATATAGTATAATTATAGTATAATATACCCCAAAACCCTATTCCGTTTATTATGGCCCCTGCGTTGCCTTGATAGAAGCCTTTACAGGAACCCCAGTGTACCTAGTCTCGGCCGGCATGGCACGAGCTCAGGGTTTGGGGTTTTGGGTTTAGGGGGTTCAGGGTTTAGGGTTTTCGGGGGTTTAGGGGGCCCCTTTCCGATGATGTTTTGTGGTCAGGTGTGGTATCCTTGGTCCCCTCACCCATCTCAGCCTTTCTTTACATTCCCGGTGAACGAAAGTGCCTAGCGACCTTCGACCCAAGCGTGCCAGCCTACTTTCGAGCAGCTCTTACCACTATTACCATCAGTTCTATTGTTACCATGACTAGTACTAGCATGATAACCATTATTGCCCTTAAAGGAAGCTAAACTCAATCTCAGGATCGCTCCTGGGCGCGCAGCTCTCCGATCACTTCGGCATCACTTGCAGCAGGATGGGGCCGTGCAACTTCGAGTGGCTCAAGACGCTGATCCTGGTGTGCTTTGGCAGATTTCTCGCCATCCCCATGTTTACGAAAAATAGGATTTAGGGGTTTAGGCTTCGGGGTTCGGGGTTTAGGGATCTGGCGTTTGAGGGTGTTTCAGGCTAGGGTTTAGGAGGCTCACCTGGAATCGGGGTGACCGACAGGTCAAGGGTTTAGATGCTCTGAAGGGCCGCTTAGGGTTTAGTCTCTCAGGGCTTCAATGCCGGCCTCCGCGACTCGAACCTGGTTAACATAATATAGGCGCCTTATTAATTACCGATAACATTCTGGGGGGCTGTTTATCATAATTATGGCATAATGAGCCCCAAAGCCTATTCTAATTATTAAGGCCCCTATATTAGGCACCCCAAGAATTAGAAAAGGGTTTGGGGCCCTAAGCCCTAAACCCTAAACCCTAAACCCTAAATCAATTCTAACGAGGAGCCCCATGGAATAGTATTTTGTTTAAAATACAGGTCATTTCATTGCGGAAGCGTTTGTGCTAAGTCGGAGAGGCTGAAAGAGAGCCGGAGATGAAGCTGCCAAAGCCATGTTGCATTATTTTATACCGAAAGGTATTATTATGTACTTTACATGACTCGATATGTTATAATTATATTAGTCGTGCAATGTTGTTTATATTGTTTTTGGTGTTTCTTTTTCTATTGTCAGAAAATATGACTAAAGCCACAGCGAGGTGTCATATGCTGGTGCCACTGGCCTGTCTGCCGCTAACCTGGGTCCTCGTCCCTGCTGCCGTCATCAGTGACGAGAGTGCTTTTGAGATGTGCCTCGGCAGCTATGAACAAGGGCTCAAAGGGACCCAGTGTATGAACCCAACAGAGCACATGTGCAACCAAAGGAGACGATGATAGGGTCGCTGGCATGGTGTCGAACGTGCATGCAGCTGTCTTGGTAATGCCCAAAACAGAAGCACGGAGAGTTGCACTTGCAAGCGACGATAGAGTTGTAGCGTGAGAAAGTCAAGCTAGCGTCGCAGATTGTAGACTTAGAAGTCATCTTGAAGTGGGACTCGGAGTACTATAGGGGCCCTAATAATTAGAATCGGGTTTTGGTGTTCCTTACCCCAAAATAATATTAGTAATTATTAAGGCCCCTACATTAGAGCGCGATGGGTCTTGTGGTCGTGGGCGTTGGGGAGCGGTGTGCCCGGCACGCTCATTTTGAAAATCCTCCCAAGCCCCTCCGCAACAAGCCGTAGCAACTATAGGGGCCTCAATGATAATATACATTATTTCGGGGGGGTTCCTTATTATAGTTATACTGTAAAGGATCCCAAAACCCTATTCCGACCATTAAGGCCCCTATAGCACCCGAATGGTTATATACAGAGACCCGGGCCCTGAACTCTATTTAGGGTTTAGGGTTTAGTGACCACTTTCATGCTAACCCAGCAGCCCAACTCCCGCCCCTACGATCTGTGGCTCACCCAAGGTTTTGGGTTTAGGGTTCATCTTTCTCAGACTCAGAAACTAGATCCTAAGAGCCCGGTGTCGCAGGGCTTCCCCGCCGCCGTCTTTCGCGTCACCGGGGCCATCTCCTGCGCGGTGCTTAGGTTTCAGGCAGTGCTGCAGATAATTCAGCAGGACAGAGTTTGCATTCGAGTTTTCGCATTTTTTTGGGAGGTTCAAACAGTTTAAATCAGGCAGGGGATGCTGGATTTCTGATGATTTCTGGTTCCCAGACCTGTGCAAGCTTGACTTTGTGGCTCTGGCACCTCTCGATTCGTCATTCCGGTTTAGGGCTTTAGGTTTCAGGGGTTTAGGGTCCAGGGTTTAGGGGTTAGGGGTTTAGGGTCTAGGGGATCATAGATCTGCCATTGATGCAGTCCTTAGCATACCTGTATTAGTTTGAGGAATGGGTTGTGTTGGTTCATCCGAGTGACTGCCTCCAAGCATCTGTAGGTGCAGCAGTGCATCGCAAGTGCAGGACAGAAGTGAAAACAAGCAGACACAGCCGACGACGCTTTGGTAGAATGGGCACAGAAGGACGAATAGGGCACTGGGCGCGTCGAGCATGTATAGGGACAGCTTTGAAACAAAACCCTAAACCCTAAGCCCTAAACCGTTCTCACCAGTGCCGTCCAAACAGAGAGTTGAAGCGTCACAGCTCCCAGCTCTCCTCACCGGCTTCCTCGCCTCGGACCTACCGCGCCACTTGGCCAAAGTAGGCCCTTATCGGGGTTTACGGCTTAGGGCTTAGGGTTTAGGGTGTCCGCCATAGGGTTTTGGGTTTGGGGGATAGGGTTGGGTTGGGGTTTTGGCAAGTTGCACTCTTTCTCGGCATAGCGGTTTTATCTAGGGTTTTCAAGGAAGTGTTGCTGCATGTGGGTGAGGCCTGGCTGGTGCAAGGGCCAATCGAGAGCACTCACAATGAGACCCGATGCCCCAAACTATGTGGGAAACCCTTTCTTGTGTTTTAAGACGCAAGCGAGACAGTTCGTCGTCGCCAATGCATATCCTTCCTGTAACTTTAGCTCCACTCTGTGCGCCTACTCTGAAGATGATGCATATTGTTTAGGATGACGATCTCGGTCCGAAGAAGCTTCGAGAGTCCAGCACCTAAAGCGCTTGATTCCTAGTCCAGGACCTAGACTTTAAGGTTTAGGGATTAGGGTTTAGGGTTTAGGGATTATAGATTTGGTTTAGGGATTTGGGATTTGGGTTTAGGGTTTAGGGTAGGGGGTCTGTACGGATAGGTTCTATTGCAGGGTTTCGAGGTTCTGGTTGGTCCTGGAACAAATCATGAGTCCGAGCATTCCAATCTGCTCAAGCCTGCAGCTTGTAAGACTTACTATAGGGGCCTAAATTATTACCAACACTGGGTTCCATATGATGTTTGAAGCATAAGGGACCCCCAAAACCCGATTCTAATTATTAAGGCCCCTACATTACACCCCAAACGCGGACGAACGCATCTGCAGCCTTTGTGCGGCAAGCGGACAACGAACTCAATCCTTTGATTTGAAAACAGAATCTGCTCTCCCGAAGTAATATAGGAGCCTAAATAATTACCTGTACTGTTTTGGGGGTTCCTTATGATAGGTATAGTATCATGTGGCCCAAAATCCTTTTCTAGTTATTAAGGCCCCTACATTAGAACTTCGTCGGAGAGTGAGTTCCCTGGCGCAGCATACGAGTCCTCAAGAAGGTTCGCACGCATGAAAGACCAAATGCTCCAGAGGCATGAAGGGTATGGAAGTACTGCTGCTGCTGCTGCTGTGCGACCCACAACGATTGTGGCGACTGCTGCGAGATGATCCCGAAGGGTTCTATACTGTTGGCACCGCCGATTCGAGTAGAACTCACACCACACTCAAGGACGATGTTGACCCTGATACGAGCCCTGTGACGCTGGCAGAATCGGCTGCTCGGCACTTGCAGGCTTGAGGTTCCGATGTGGGTAGTTGTCAAAATTATGGTCCCTTCTTGGGGTACCCTAAATAATAGGTGCCGTATTATAATGAGGATCCAAAAAGTGACCATAATTTTGACAACCACCCATGTTTGGATTTTGGAGTTCCCGGAGCAGTTCCCGTTTCTGCAGCCTAGGGCTCTCAGCATTAGGGCGCGGGGTGCAGGATGCGAAGCCAAGGTAATGAGTCTTCGGGAAGCTAATGTAGAAGCCTGAATAATTACCAACAGTATTTTTTTTGGGGGGGTGGGATCCTTATCATAATGACAGTTTAATGGGCCCCAGATCCCTATTCTAATTGTTAAGGCCCCTACATTAGGTGTTGAGTTCCCAGGGCTCCGGCCTCCGGCCTGCGAGGTTGCGTGCAATGTGTTGGTGAGATGTACCAATCAAAAGGTCAAGCAACCCACTGGATGAATAGCACAAGAGCATCACAGTCGCAGCCGCTTGTACATATATATATATACACACTATGTACAATATATGTATGCGTTTATACATATGCAAAGGTATTTGTAAGCGCCAATGCATTTCACATGTATGCCCATGTGTATGTGCATGTACATGCGTATGAGAAAGGGAAATGTGTATGTGTGTGAACATGCACATTAATGTGTGTGTAAGAAGTTTTTGTATGCGTGTATGTATGTGCATGCATATATATATATATATATGTTTGTGTGTATGTACATGTATATGTATGTGTATATGTATATACATATATATATATATATGTCATCGCGTATGTCTGTATGTCGGTGCATATATGTAAGTAGGTTTGCAAGTAATGCGCACATCTGTATCCGTGGTGTGGCTTTCCTCGCCTCAAGTTTGTAGGGCTGATCCTCGAAGAAAGCTGTCGGATCAGCTATCGAACGGCTCGACACCCGAAGTCCTTTATGAGATCTCTCTCAGGACTACTTCCGGCTGGCAGACCACACAGAGACGTAGTGACCAGGTATGACGCAGGATGCGACAAGCTCTAGAGTCAGAGCTGACGTCTTCTGCTCTGAACCCTTGAGCCCGATAAGACGCGACATGGAGGATAAACAACTTTAACAAACTGGGGTTTAGGGTTTAGGGTACATACACGTTGTACCTAGACACCCACATCAAGCAAGATTCCGTGTGCGCGCACGAGACTTAGGAATGGAGGGCTTGGCGAAAAGCCATGACAGTTTCCAGCGGCTCTTCATTCGACCCTCTGTGCCAGACGTAGGCTAGGTTTCTAATATGGGGTCCTTAATAATTGGAATAGGGTTTGGCGAATATTATACTGTAAAAAAGGGAACCCCCAAAACCCTATTCTAATTATTAGCGAAAGCCATCTCCCATCGTAAGTTGTCTAAGTGAATCTGAATTTCAAGGCGCACAGTCCCTCTTGTCGGAGATATTCCGGCATTGTGCATGGTGCTCTGCGAAGTAGCAAGACACCCAAAGAAGGCACGATATTGCTTTCAGAGTCTCTGGGGGCATGGGATCTCTCATCTTGGGCTTGAGGGTTTAGAGTTCAGGGTTTTGAGATGCTACCTTCTTCCAGCATCAAAGCGAAGGTAAAGCAACAGGGCACGAAACACCAAATTCTGGAAAGTAATATAGAAGCCAAAACAATTAATTATACTATTTCAGGGTTCCGTATTATAAGTATAGTATCATATGCCCCAAAACTCTATTCTAATTATTAAGGCCCCTACATTAATTCTGAGGGGGATGATTATTCTGCCTATCTGGGCCTTATCGATCAGAACGGGGCGTTGGGTATGTTACAAGACTATACTCATATTCAGGAAATCTGGGAAATAATGATACTAGCTATTCAGGCTTCTGTATCAGGCTTCTGTATCAGGGTCGTGTGTGTCGCTTTTTGGGCGACGCCTATGGCTCTCACTATCCCATGCTGCCAGTCGTTTGTACTGCAATGGTGCGTAGTTTCAGTCACCTGCTGTGATGCGCCCCTGTAGGGGTGTCCCTATCAGTGGAGGCGGCAGCGATGAAAGGGTCATGCCATTGGTCTTACGACCGCGGGCGACAAGGATAGAAGCTACAAGCACCAAGTCGAGTGGCAAAGAGTGTCCCAGCGGTTCAGGGTGTAGCGGTGTAGGGGTTTTGGTTTTAGGGTTTAGTGGTTTGAGTATCAAGTATGGTTCATGCCTCCGACTTCGAGTTGTGTCGGATTGAGAGTCATAAAGTTTGTGAAGGAAAGCGGTTTAGACTTTAGAGTTTAGGATCTAGAAGTTGAAAACCACCCCATAGAGACGTCTTTCTCATTTCGAGGTTTTGTGCGTGCTGACGCACCCCGTCGAACTCTAAATATTCAGGAAACATGCAGTCGATGCATCTTGACGGGCAGGGCTATTCGCGAGACGCGTCTAGCCGTGGTGGCTCTTGACGGGGGTGTGAGGATTTTGCACGGTGTTTGTTGCGGGATGAGCCCGATATCTTGCACTTCTAGAAATGGCTTGTGGGGGGACGCTTTCCACCAACGTCGCACACCACAAGCGAAAGTCAACCGACTCTGATAGGCCCGTCGGCTTCACAGGGTTGTGCACGAGGCTTTTCTGTTCTTTGTTCTTTCTGTCTTTGGGGAGGGGCGGCTATTCATAAATCGGGGTATGGTACTTGCAGCATCGAGTTTGTAGCGGAAAGCTGCCACGATTAACCCTTAGCCTAAACCCCAAACCCTGAACCCTGAACCCTAAACCCTAAGCCCTACCTGAATCCATTGTTGTGTAGGTTTCACTCCGGGCCCGTCACAGGAATGCTGTTGGGTTTTGGGGAAAGGGCCGGAACACCGAAAATCGAATAGGCTGGGGAAGCTTGAAGCGTTGTACTGAAGCGTAAGAGATTACTTGGCCATGCTATTTCTTAGGGTTCCTTATTTCTGTAGTTATACCAGAATGTATCCCAAAACCCCAATCTAACCAGTAAGGCCCCGAAATTCAAGCCGTGGACGGACTGCCCTCTCGGTTCTTTGTTTCATCCAGAGTAGATCTGGGAATCGGCAGCTTTTTCGGCATTCAGTCTCCCCCAAAACCCTAAACTTTAAACCCCAAAACCTAAACCCTGAGCCCTCAAACCCTTAAGCCCTAAACCCTTAACCCTGATGTTCTACTACTTTGAACCCGAAGTACCCATGTGCAGCCTGGCCCAGAGGCTCAAAGCTCCAAAACACGGGTTCCTACACTCCACGCCAGAATATCTTAATGAACCCCAAGCCCGAAAACTCTAATCCCTTAAAACCCCAAAAGCCCTAAAAGCCCTAAACCAAAAAACCCTAAAACCCCCTAAACCCTGAGGCCCTAAAGCCCCAAACCCTAAACCCCTTCGAATTGACATCCCAAGACCTGCCCCACCTCCCCAACTCCGAGCTACAAGCCGCACCGCAGCATGGCAGCACATCCTGGTTTGGGGTTTCCTGTTAAGGGTTTAGGGTTATTAGTATTAGTGTTACCATTAGCGCTTTCTATTAGTAATAGTATTTAGTGATAGTAGTTCGTTTTAGAATGAGTAGCACTTAGTGTGAGTATTAGCTTTTAGTGTTGGTATTAGTAGGTAGTGTTGGTATTATCACGGTCGAGGTGTCGCCGAAGGGCTGCTGGTTGGGTTCCATGGGTAGTTCTCTGAGTTAGGGTCCCTTTCAGGGTCCTTCTTACAAGGGCGGGGTGCTATTTCGGGGACCCCCCGAAAGGGACCCTAATTTAGGGAACTCCGGGTCCTTTGTACAAGAATTTCGGGGACCCCCCAAATTAGACCCTAAACCCTGAACCCTAAACCCCCAAAAAGGGACCCTAAGTCAGAGAACTCCCTATGTAGCCCATTTTAGGACGAGGGTTCGGAGCATGGAGGGCGAGCCGCTTAGCGATGAGCTCCTGTCTAAAGCCCGGAGCCGAGGCGCCACCCGGGCTGGGGTTTAGGTTTTAGGGGTTAAGCCGGGTTAAGGGCTTTAGGGGTTAAGGGTTTAGGGATTGGCTTCGGCTTTTGGCCCCCGCATTTCAGCGGTTCTCATGAGGAGTACCGTAACCCAAGCTACCCTATACTTGTTAAAGGTTCCTTGTTGGGATGTCCATGTAGAAGTCCCGAAAATGGTAGGTTATTGGGGAATTTTGGGGATCAGGTAGGGCATGCTCAGAGATGTCCCGTCAGCCGATTCCATGAAACTTGATCCGCTGCCGAAGCCCTAAACCCAAACCCCTCTAAACCCTAAACCCGAAACCCTCAGCCCTAAACCCAAACCTCTCTAAACCCTAAACCCTCAGCCCTAGACCCAAACCTTTCTAAACCCTAAACCCTAAACCCTAAACATTAAACCCTCAGCCCTAAACCCTAAACCGTACACCCTAAGCCTTTTCAAGAGCTTGCAGCCTCTGGCAGGCAGCCGCTGGCTTCTGGATCAGGCCGACCGCGGCCAGCTGGCTCCTTGACAAGTTGGAGACGAGAGAATTCTGCTCCGACAGGCTCTTTAACCTCTACTTTAATAACAATAACAACAATAACACTAATAATCTATACTTTGTAATAATAACAATAACAATAGTAAGACTAGTAGTGTATACTTTGTAAGAATAACAATAACAATAGTAACGATGATGAGATAAATCATGTTAGTAATGGGTACAGACTAGGGTTTTTCGGTATGGCCCATCGGCACGCATCATTATGTCACGGCTTGCACTTTCATACCTTCACGATCAACATCACCCCATCACCATCGTAATCAGCGTCATCAAGACCGTCATCATCATCGGCGTCATCATTGATGCCACAGCACCACCATGGATCTCGAACGTCGACAGCCCCAGCGCTGGCCGCCCATCAGAGAGGTCGGGGATTTGCAGCCCCTCCGCAGACTCGCCTGGCGCCTACGGGGGCTTTGGGATTTCAGGATTTCGGAAGCTCCGGGGGATCCGAGGGTATGTCGCTGAGTCCCCTGAGCCTGAAACCGCAAACCCGAAAGCCCTAGGGCTCTTATAACCTGAAGCCCGAAAAGCCTAAAGACCCTTAAAGGCAGAAGCATGTCTCCACCACGACTTCGATCTGTTTATGGCGATCGGAGACGTGCAGAAAGCTGTGTTGCGCCGATGCAGCCTTCCAAGACACGAAATAGTACAGGACCCCAAAAATAATTGGCAGTACTATTTTGGGTTCCTTGTTTTAAGTATAGACAAATATACCACAAAATCTTACTCTAATTCTACACAAATTAAGGCCCCTACATTAACTGCCGTGCAATCCTCAAGAAGCCCCGACCTGAGGCCTGGATAAAGCTGCTGGGTGGGCCCTGCTCGCTTGCAGATGGTACGGAGTTGCGGCCGCGACTGAACCCGACAGAGTTGACAGACCTCGTTATCATTCTCCTTCTCCTGCTTTGTTCCTCACGCTCCCGTTCCGGTTGCCTTTGCTGGCAATCAAATCACTTGAGCTGCAGACGCACTGGACTTCGCTTTGCTTAAGCTCGGCTGTGCGATGCAGACATCAAGCAATGCTGTTTGCGGTTTACCAGACACAGCTTTTTCAATCACCTCTGGAGATGAGCGAATCAGTCGTTCCGTCAGTGCAAACGTGCTTTCCTGCTCTTGAAACCCCAGGGATACCCTAAACAACCCTAACTAAATTCCCAAATGAGGATTTGGGACCCTTGGATATGGGCAGGCGTCGTCAGCGGCGAAAACTTTGAGGCGTGGGCCGACGAGCTTGACAAGCTACAACCCCAGTGACCTAAGACTGTCGGCTTGGATGGGGGCTACTAAGGTTACGGCGAGGAGTTGGGGAGATAATTATAATACGAACCTAAATAGTAGTAGTGGTGGTAGTGGTGGT